CCCCCCCCCCCCTTCCCCCTCCCACCCTTCCCCTCCTTTCCTTCCCCTCCCTCTCCCCTTCCCCTCCTCTCCTCCCCTCCTCCCCGCCCCCCTCCGCTTTTCTGCGCCTCCCCCCCTTCCCCTTCCCCTTTCCCTCCCCCCTTCCCTCCCCCCCCCCCCCCTCGCTCTAATCATCCTTCCCGTCCCTCCTTCTCCTTTCTCCTTTCATCCCCCTCCCCCTCGTCCCCCCCTCCTCCCCTCCCTCTCTCCATTTTTCCCCTCCCCCTGCTCTCTCCCCCCTCTTCCCTTTTTTCCTTGTCTTCTGTGACGACCTCACTCCCCCCCCCTGTCACTCGCCTTCCCCCCCTGCGCGCCCCCATATTCCCCCCCTTGCCCCCCCGGGAACCACTATTTAGATCTTGCACATCTCTCAGATCTCATTCGAGATATTAAGTTTAAGGTAATTTCGCTTATTAGCAAACCCTTTAGACACTATATCAAAAGATCGACTGTTTTTGAAACCCCAAAAACATTCAATATAATTCCAAAAAAGAATGATTTAAGCTCCAAAAAGGGGTTGGTACGCCCAGGGTCATACACCGGTGTTTCGGAGGTTCGTCCTCCTCATCAGTGACCCCCGCCCCACATTCAGCCCTGCATTGAAGCAAGGAGGGAGGCGTATGTGGTGATGGCACAGTGTACTATGACACTGTACCATCACCACCTCTCAGTCGATAGATTTTTGCTGTTAGATCAAAACTATATCAAAAGATCGACTGTTTTTGAAACCCCCAAAAAATGTGGGGCGGGGTCACTGATGAGGAGGACGAACCTCCGAAACACCGGTTTATGACCCTGGGCGTACCAACCCCTTTTTGGAGCTTAAATCATTCTTTTTTGGAATTATATTGAATGTTTTTTGGGGGTTTCAAAAACAGTCGATCTTTTGATATAGTTTTGATATAACAGCAAAAATCTATCGACTGAGAGGTGGTGATGGTACAGTGTCATAGTACACTGTGCCATCACCACATACGCCACCCTCCTTGCTTCAATGCAGGGCTGAATGTGGGGCGGGGGTCACTGATGAGGAGGACGAACCTCCGAAACACCGGTGTATGACCCTGGGCGTACCAACCCCTTTTTGGACCTTAGACACTTTTCATGCGCTCTTATGAGATGTTTTTGATGGGGTGATTTGTTGGTTACCTGATATGTTTTTTTTAGTCTCAGCCAATTTTCGTCAAATTATCATACGTTGACAGTATACATAGGGTCTTCCTTGTTTGAAATTGGAAAACAGAGAAAAGAATCTTCTATCGAGTAAGAGCTTGTCAAAATGCGCAATCCTGTTAGCTTTGGAGAAGATGAGGTAGAAGTATTAGACTTTGAGGACTAACAAACGTATTGTTCCTTGAGCAATCAAACAACTTCTCTAAAAGCATGATTGCCAGAGTGAAGAGGATAAGGAGTACCCGGAATATGAAGAAGACGGGATTACCAACTGTCCATGTATGTGCGGACTTACCGAGCGAGAGATGCAAAGAAGAGTGCTCATTCACTATTTTCGCGAGCGAGGGTTGTGCGGGTGGTTGAAGTGAATCGGTTTTATGTCTCAGAGCGTTGGGTAAAAGTTTTCCGAATAGAATAAAAACTAAACATTGTTGCGAAAGTGTTAGTAGTCTATTGAAAACCAACCTAATCTGTATTCTAGGTATATTTTTTTGATGCGGTCCACCCACATTCTGTTAGTACCGCCCATGCATCAGTTGTTAAGGTCACTGATGCTACAGACAATAATGGAAATAGCCAGGTATAGTGATTTATGGATTATCACTCTTATCTCCTTTTGTTTTTCTTAGTTTGTTCTCATCGTTATGTGAATCTTCTAGGTATTATGACTAATACTGTGAAGGAATTGATTTTTTCGACACAACGTCCCGAAGTGAAAAATCGAAGTTCAAATAAGCATTCAACTGAGAAGAGTGTTAGTGAAATGGATAGTCGGGAGCCTCAGAATTCACAAAGTAAATTCTGTCAAAGTGAGCGAACGACAAGGATCTAAAGGATCTACTTCTCCGGCTGTGAATCAAGCAAATTCCACGAGATAGCCAATCTTCTATTAACTAATGAAATTTTTTCGTCTGGTCACCTACTAATAATAATATGTTTTTCTCTCTTCTACGATTAGTACCATAAACTTAGTCATATATTTAACCTTGTGATGGCTGTCATATTCACTCATTTCTAAATGATCATGTTCGATGGGCCGTTTGCATTCGATAATTTAATGTGCAATTTCAAGCATAAATATGTAAATTTTCATAACACTTGGTTATTGTATCAGTTCATCAGAACCTCCCTGGAAGGTTCTGAACAGATATTCTTGGTCTACTGTCGTCTCGTCTAGCGTGTTCGGTAGCTTAGTAAGCAGCAATATGGTGCCAACATTCAGTAGTAAATGATATCACAATCACTAAAAAATCTACATGTCAAATGGTATGTATATCCAAATGTGGTGTTTCGCTGATTCGTTGAGGAATGGTGTACATTTACTTCCCTGGGAATATCTCAGCCAAACAGGAGACTTGAACATTTCATAAAGTCCTTGATATGATTTCTCACTTTATAGCAATAAGCAATGTAATCGTTAGAGTAAGGAAGCATTAATGATCAATCAAACACAACTTTTTTATTGGACCGCCTTCAGCGGCATGGTGTTATAGTATACCCAGTGATGTTAAGCGGTGTGCAAAACTTTTGCATCAAGTGGGACTCGAACCAACATTTCACCCTATCCGGGGATGCGTGCTCGAACCGTTGCACTAACCGACGCCCGATACCCAGGTTTTCGTTGTTGCTCTGCATCGCACACAAGATCAGTGGTTTGAATTCGCGATCATAGTTCACCAAGTCTTTCATCTCTCCCGGGTCCGTAAAGTTGTTACCAATTTTGTCTGAGAGTATAGCAAAACTGACTTGATACTTTGGTAGGTCACCGCGAGTAAGCCATTGTAAAGGCCAGATATTGGCGCATACCTCAGGGATTGATCAACGCCGAGGGATTCATCCTTTGTTCCTTCATCTCACTAGTTATAATCAACTTTCAACGTAGTTCAAATTGACTTTGTTTCAACTTGAATTGACATCATCTTTCGCTTTTCTGTTTAGAGTTAATTGAACTGGTTTTTCTTTGGCTGCTCGATGCGTCAGTATTGTTGTGGAACTGTTTTGCCAAAAGAGCCTGTTTCACCAGTTGTTGTTGGCTATACAATTTTCAGTCTAATAAGGAAAGCTTTGCAGAAGATCGTACTTGCCTACAGTGAATCCTACGACCTATGGGAAACAATATAGAATGTCCTAGTACTGTTAGTTTAGGGTTCCTAAGAAGACCAGCACTTAACATCTTTTATAACGTCATTAAAAAATCGAAAAATTTCCAAGGAACCGCCCTAATCTTCAATGGTGAAGACCTTCGAAGAACTTCCAGTATCCGCACAACGAAAAGCGTCGTATCATATAAAGATACAATAAATAACCTATGATTTGTCTGTGTTGATTAATTTGTGCGGGAGTTGCTCCCCTTCTTCCGTCCTCTCAAGCGGAATTTTTCATACGTAAGGAAATTACAAAGAAAAAACACCAAATGCACGTATTGGAATTGACGTCTTCTTTAGTTACGTATCATGAATATCCAGATACAAATAATCATTATCCAATCAATAAATGAATTGAGAATCACTATAAAGCACACTACTACTTAACCTTCGCTGAGGTGATTACAGCTAGTAAAAACCAACAAAGCAGAAAGAGCGGGGTGCAGAAAATTTCATACATGCTACAACGAGACACTCATCTTTAGGGATAAATTCCTTCCAAAAGGAAAAATTTTCTCAATCACTTCTCTTGCATAGATAATCCATAATGATGATCATCGGATTGGCTTGTGGTTGGCTGCAGCTCTAGAACTCTCGTCTTCTTCATGAGTATGTTGATTTCTGGTCTAAGCAGATGTAGATTTTTCTTGTAACCTTGCATAGCCTTGTGGGATCGCCCTTGGATCCTCATCACAGGCTGTCACCAACCTCTTTCAATTGAAAAAACTACTTGATCTTAAGCATTCCCGACACCACTTCCCCGATCCATGAGGAATGGAAAGTTTGGGTATACTGGAAGGATCGAATTGTAATGTTACACCTATTGAAGGCATTTATTGAAATTTTTATACATGATTCTCAATAACAACTGGTTGATAATACTGCCACTAAATCATTTTTGAGCCACGCATGTCATGTGGTCTGTTAAAAAAGGGCTGACTTATAGAGCCCGATACACGTGTTTCGACCTTGCAGTATGGTCAGTCGGGCAGTTACCCTTTCTCGTCTTTTGCTAACTTCTGTAGGTGCCCTTCCCCACACTAAGAGTTAGCGACGACGAAAGCTTTACACTCTATGTCCAGTGGAATTATCACCGAACCCAAAGTGTTGTACATCCGATTGCTCGTGGCTAGTATATTCAATATATCATATCCTTCGTTGCGAGTGTTTCTTAAGACCACAGCTCAAATTTCAATATGCCACAAAATCATATTTGGGTTCTTATAGATTAGCCCCCACAGATTAGCAAAAGACGAGAATGGGTGACTGCGCGACTGACGAGATGCAAGGTCGAAACACGTTTATCGGGCTCTACAAGTCAGCCCTTTTTTAACGGACCACACGACATGCGTGGCTCAAAAATGATTTTGTGGCATATTGAAATTTGAGCTGCGGTCTCAAGAAAATACTCGAAACGAAAGATATGTTGATAATACTGATTTTCACGATCGCTTGAGACAGTAACAATACTGAATTGGATCGATCTCTAGGGCTTTCATACGCACAATGCGAAAAGATGAGATTGGAAGATACAGGAAAAATATCGTGATGATGATATCAGTGGTATACTCTCATGTCTAAAGCGATGTCTTCGAACCTCTACAGCTTCTACAATGCCAAAAAAAAAGAATGTTTAAAGCCTAAGCGAGGTTGGTACTCCAGGACCATACACTGGTGTTTCTGAGGCCTCGCTCTCCTCGTCAGTGACCCACGCCCCACATTAAACCCTGCGTTGTAGTAAGGAGGGAGGCGTATGTGGTATATGGCACAGTGTACAATAAAAGTGGTCCATCACCACTTCTCAGTCGATGGATCTCGGCTAGTAGAACAATATTGATCCATGGCATCGACTGTTTTGAAAACCTTATAGCTTTTACTATAGTCTGATAGTGATGAACAGTTTCTATCATGATGCACAAGGCGAATGCACTTTCAAAAAATCGTGGTGGTAATGACGACCAACAGATATGTTCAGCATAAAGTCAGTTGTGGGAACGGACACTTGTAGAGCGGTGTAAAGTTTCATTGGTGAAAGTTAATTTGTACGATTGAGGAATCATTTCAATATCAGATCAAATCATGTAAGAAGCCAGAAAAACGACTTCATATTAATAAACAAATCCGAGAATCTTTTTCCCCCCATTTCTCTAGCTGTACAACGTATGATGAACAGCGCAATTCTACATGATCAAATTGCATCTCGGAAATGTCAGCATAAATATCAAGGAGGTCTTCAACAAATATAGGAGAAATTTTCTTGCGCACGTTCTATTTTGAAAAAGAAAGTAAATCCGTCTTTATCTGGCGTATTCCACATAGGCTGCGTACCTAAGAATATTTACCAGTGTCGGACGACAGGCGACGTTCCAGATATACGCACCTAGCTGCTCCGCGCACTGTCAAACTTATGTAATATATAGTCAGCCAAGAATCCTGAAAAAATAAGCAAGACTAAACCTCAGTCGGGAGATGAACCCGGGTTTCACTCACACCGGTGGACGCGCCCCACCGCTACACCAAGAGGGCTTCGCTCTCCTACTAATCTCTTTTCATGTTGAGTGGTTGTGACAGCTGCGATGCTTAATATCGAGGAGGAATGGTCGGAGGGCCGTGGCCTCGGTACTGTAGTGTTAGCACGCACCTCCGATATGGGTGAAATCAGTGTTCATCTTTCACGTGAGGTTCAAAGTTCTAATTGACACGCAGCATCCTTGGATGTATAATATATGATCGAGTTGGCGCGACCTCATTCAACCATCTTCTGTTCATGGTGTCCACATATTTCACAGAATAGTATTTCTGACACTTTTCTGTTATGCGCATTTTCAACCTTTTGGAACACCTTTCTTCTGTCTTATCTGTTCCATAAGTAATAATCAGTTATTGGTTCTCTAGTGATATGTTCAATGTATCTCTAGTCTTTTGCAAACGCTGTATGACTAGGCGCAAAGGTTCTTGACTTTAGAGGGTGCAATCCCGTCTATTCATTCGTCCATTGTCTACTCAAATGATGTTTTCACACCTTCGTGGTATTCTATCCTTCTTATCTACATAAGAAAACTGAAGTCTTAGGCTTCCTACTCCTATGACACTAGTATTTTCAATATACATTACGAATCATATATAGTAATCATATTGTTGTAGTTGATGCCTCTGCGTTATCAGTTATGTTGTAATTATATTATAAAGGCTTATTGCCTAGGATTAGGCTTCAACACTCTCGAAATTATAATCGCTACAAACCATTTAACAGGCAACAGTGTATTAGGCGACATCTTCCGCTTCCAACTCACACTAACAACACTGTTCTACAATGAAGTTAGGAATCCTTGAATACTTTTATCGCCACGTTGAGTTGGCAAATCATTGAAAAATTTTGTCACATAATCTTTGATAATTGAGCGGAAGCACGAAGTTTATGAAAAACTTATTTATTTCCTCGGCTGTGATTTCGACGCTTTTCGTCCTCTTCAGAGCCAATTGATCCGAGCCGATGCTTCAAAGTCAGTTGTCTTCGCTGTCGTATTCGCCTTCATTGTCATTCGAGACGGATCTTCGGAGGAGGAGCACCGCTCAAATGAGAAACTCGCTCGGCTGCTCCTCGTACGTAGGGCGATTACTGATGGTAATGATTGTCGGCTAATATTGCTTTGCTTTTTCACTGCTGGAAGATTTAACGTACGCAATAAGAGAGAAGGACGTAAAGTACTCATGTCTCAATTTCAAGCTTTCAGGTATAGAATTCACAGCCTTTAGATGGATTTACACTTTTCTCATCTGCAATTTTAACATTTTGCAGTCGTTAGCGATAAAAGGATAAAGGATAAAGCTCTCGGCGTTGATCAATCCCTGATGGATGCGAAAGAATGCATGTCTGGCTTCAAAATGTCTCCTGCTGAACCGAGTCAGTGGTGCTTACTGACTCCGGATGGATGGATGACTTGGTGAGCCATGAGTGCGAGATCGAACTGCTGACCTCGTGTGCGGCACAGGCACCTCTCACCACTGCGCCACATGCGCACACTTTAACGATATTACCGAAATTCTTTGCTAACAAAACGGTAGAAAACTTGTAGTAATAATTTTGAATTCTTAAGCTAGCACGAGGTTTGTAGAGTTTATTCGGGTAACGTTTGAACATCTTCAACTTGTTCGGAACGTTAGCCCCTACCAACTTCGCGTTAGATTAATATCAGCTTGTCCTTTGCACAGATGTTGTACTCATTTTTTTCTATTTCAAATCATGTCGTTATCGAAAGGCTGTGGTATATAGGAGAATGTGCTAGTAACTTGGGCAGACACTTGAATACGGCCGTAGCACCGTTGTTCAGCATCTAAATAAAATGGGCTCCTTCAAAGTCATGTCTCTGATCGACCCCCTATGCATTGAAGCTTCACCTCATTGCAACTGCAATACATTGCAAATCGACTCCTCACGTTTTGGAGAAACTGTGCTGGA